CCCAACTATATAAAACAAATACTAACAGACATGAAAAATCAAATAAGCACTAATACAATAGTAGTGGGAGATCTCAATACTCCACACTCACAAATAAATAGATCAACTAGACAAAATATAAGCAACAAAATACTAGAACTCAAACTCTTGAAAAAATGAACTTTACAGATGTTTACAGAGTGTTCCACCCAACAAAATCAGAATACACATTCCTTTAAGCTGCATAAAAGTCATTCTCCAAAAAGACAACACACTCACTTATAGAACATGTTTAACTAAGTGCAAAGGAATTACAGTTATCCCCTGTATATTATCAGACCATAAAGTGATGAAATTGGAGATGAATAGCAAAAGAAACAGCAAGAATTTCATAAACACATGGAAATTGAACAACACACTTCTGAATAACCAATGGGTCACAAAGGAAATTAAAGAAGAAATCAGACAGTTCCTACAATTAAATGACAATGACAGTACAACATATTGGAATCTATGAGACACAATAAAAGCAGTCTTACCAGGGAAAGTCATAGCAGTGAATATTCATAGTAGAAAAACACAAGCAAGCCCAATCAAAGAACCTGATGCTGAACCTCAAGCTTCTAGAAAAACAAGAGCAGGACAAAAATCAAAGCTCATAAAAAGAAGGGAATTATAAAGATCAGAGCAAAAATCAATGCAATGGAGACTAAAAGAATAATACAAAAAATCAATGAAGCCAAGGGTTCTTTGAAAGTATAAACAAAATTGACAAACCCTTAGCCAACCTTATCAAAAAAGGAAAGAAAAGGCCCAAATCCATGCAATTAGGAAAGAAAAGGGTGAAATTACAACAAACCAAGCAGAAATCCAGAAGATCATCAATACCTACTTGGAGAACCTATACTCCAATAAGATGGAAAACACAGAAGAAATGGACAGATTCCTAGACACTGCATTCAAAGTTGGACAAAGAAGACCTAAAACTACTAAACAACCCAATATCAATCAATGAAATTGAAAACATAATTAAAAACTTACCAACTAACAAAAGCCTGGGTCCTGACGGCTTCCCTGCTGAATTCTACAAGACATTTAGAGAAGAGCTACTGCCACTACTGTTTAAACTCTTCAATGAAATTGAAAGGGAAGCAATACTCCTGAATTCATTCCTGGAAGCAAGCATCGCCTTGATCCTCAAAGCAGAGAAAGACCCAACCAAAGAAGACAACTATAAGCCAATCTCACTAATGAACATAGATGCAAAAATCCTTAATAACATACTGGCAAATAGAATGCCAAAGATCATCAAGAAGATCATACACCCTGACCAAGTGGGATTCATCCCAGGGATGCAGGGATGGTTCAACATATACAAA